TTTCTCCTTGTTGGCTGTCATTTGACTCTGTTTTTCCAAATCTCAGGAATTCATTGCCCCAACTTCTCTTTTTGGGCGAGATGAGGGTACGATGCTGTTTCCAATCTTTTACCCATGTCAAAGCCAACGTCTGTATTATCCAGATTCATTACCTGTGAGGAATCTACTCCCTATGGAATGCTCCTTGCATTCAGAGTTCAGAGCTTTTGTCAAATAACTGACAAGAAGCAAATCAGGTCTTTAACATTTGTATGGGAGAAGAACCAGCAACACTCTACCTGCTTAATGTCAGTTCGTAAATTGTTGGTAAATATCTAAAGAAACGCAAGGCCGAATTAAATGGTTCACTCATGTAACTTACATTTATTGAACATTGGTTTTCTATATATCAGGTGCTTTTCAAAGTGCCGCGAAGATATAAAGACCAATAAGCACAGATTCTGGCCTCAAAGAGCTCAGTCTAGTGCTCCAGTCGGAAGGTACAGATAGCTGATGTTCATTATTCAAGGATTTCATATTTGTGAATTCGCCTACTTGCTAAAATTTATTTGTAACCCTAAAATCAATACTCTCAGAGCTTGTGTGGTGCTTAACCGACATGCACCAAAAGACAAAGCACTCGAGTCACCCGGACATGCATGTTCCCAGCTGAGGTCCAACAAGGCCATGTTCTGCCTTTTTGTTCCTCTTTGGGATCTATTTGTGCCTTATTTCTTTTTTTCATTTTCATACTTTTTGTCGACAATTTCACCGTTTAAAATGGCCCTCAAGCGCGATGCTGAAGTGCTGTCTAGTGTTCCTAAGTGCAAGGAGGCTGTGATACTCCTTACAGAGAAAATACGTGTGTTAGATAAGCTTCATTCAGGCATGAGTCATAGTGCTGTTGACTGTGAATTCAATGTTAATGGATCAAAGTGTATATTAAGTAAGGTGTCTTTAAACTGAAACATACATAAGTAAGGTTATGTGTTGATCAGTTGAGGAAAATGTAACCTTGCAGGAACCTAACCCTGTATTTCCCCTGGAAGTTATGGTTCATTACATGTTAATTCCGTGTTCATGGTGACTTCATAGAACATGGCTACTGCATATAACAAGAATCAACTGTATTTAAACTGATCCAATCAACACGGCTTGGAGAGTGCTACTGTCAACGTGTGAATGCTACACTGCAAAAGCACACAGAAAACAGCAATTGACCTGGCCTTGGAGAGTTGAAAGAGTCATAGAGAAGAGTTGCTTTTGAGCTGGGTTTCAAAAAAATGAGTTGAAACTCAAAGAATGGGCCACCATGGAAGGTCATTCAAGGCAGTGGGGGAACCATGTGCAAAGGAAAAGAGGTCTGAAAAAGCCTGACACCCTCAGCGATTAAAAGCAATTAAAGTCAGAGCTCTTAAGTCATGCTCCAACTCAGCCACGAGCAAGGATTTTGAGCCATTACAAAGTTTCTCTATATAGTTTGGGCTGTAATTTTTGCAACAAGGAAGTGTGCAGCATGTCAGCTGTGAAAATTGGCTCAATATTCATAATCAAATCTATTATGCTCCCTCTGAAGCCTGGGCCATGTTTCCGTAGAAACCCCTAGTTACATAAAGGGACTCTGGCCAGTAATTGGCAAGAAAACCCACCACCTTTGGAAACCATTATAGTAATGCCAGGGGGAAAACACTATATAATTCCTGCTGGAGATCAGTGAGCTGCGAGGGCAAACACGAAAGCAAGTCTGAAATGAGCACTTCCCATGTGCCCAGCACAATTCAAGCCACCACGAAGCTACACATGCACACACATGCATGTGTAACATTTCACACACCTTTTCTTTCACAGCTACAAAGCAGTTTATATTAGCCTTCACATCAACCTTCCCAGGTAGGTTTTCTTACTCTCATTTTATGGAAGAGAAAACCAGAACTCCAAACGATTAAGTAACCTGTTTAAGTGCACACAGCTAATGAGTGGCAGAACTAGGATTATGCTCAGCTTCAGCTTTGACTCTAAATCTTGTGGGGGTTTTATCTATGTCTCAGAAAATATCCCTGTTCTTGAGAAACTTGCAGAGGTGAAAAATCCCCAATGCTCGTACTAAGACATGGTTGTCACACATGATACATCAGAGGAGTGAGTGGCTCAGCCTGTCAGCTTTCTAGGACTACTCAGAGGACAGAACTCTGAGCCCATAGCGCCACACTGTCCCCCAGGCATCACTAGCATTGGAACAGATGAACTTTGGTAGCTGTAGATGGGGGAGGAAGCCATCCGCCATGGGTATGCTAGCAAAAGTTCAGAAGCAGAAATAATCCTCCCAAAGACCAAGGGAGTCAGGAGAGAAAGGGAAATAGAATTTGTTGAGGGATTTAGAGGGAATGTTCCAACTGCTCTAGGATGGGTCTCAGTGGGTGAAGAGGAGCCCCAGATGGGATCAGCCCTTACGGCTGTGTCCCCAGAGGGCAAGTCCATCTTCCATGACCCTATCATTCATTCAGTAATATTACTGGGCACCAGTTTGTGCCAAGCATTGTTCTCAGCACTGGGAACCCTTCAGAGAATGCATTTTTAAATGAGCCTGGTTCCTGGGGGGTGCCCACAGCTCCCGGGCAATGATGGAAGTTCTCTGCTTACCATTTTCACTGCTGCCTCCTCTTCTTTCTCTATCCCCTGTCCCTAAGGATCCTTAACCTATCATCCATCCCCGGGGGCTCCCAGGATCAAGTGTACCTGATCGTCCAGTTCTCCACTCTCAGCCTCATGTAGTACAGTCCCCCTGATATGGTGGCCCCACCAGGCCACTCCCCACCAGGGCTTCCACTTTATCCCTCTACCTGGAGTGCCCTTGTCCCCATTTCCTGCCTATTGAAGTCTAGCTCGCACCCTGGGGTTTAGCTTAAAAGCTGTCCTACTGGAGAATCTGCTCCTACTTTCCCCCAATCACAAAGAATTCCTTCTTTTCCTGGGTCCACACAACAAATGGCTCTATTTTAGCCTGTTTCCTACTCTGCCTTGTCGTAGACTGCGGCTGGCAGCCTGTGTGTGTCCTCCTCAAGGCCAGGGAACATGTGTCCTTAGTCATCCAGCACCGTGCCCGGCACTTTGTCCACGCTCAATCAATAAAATAAATACATAAAGAGGATGCCCTTGAAATTAGAACATTTCAGTTTACACTGAATTTAATTAAGATATTAAGGTTCATTTTAGCAAACATTGTGAATGAAAACCATCTGAAATTCAATCTAAACTTACCTGCCCCCAAATGACAGTTTAATTTCACTGTAATCTTTATTATAATAACCTCTAAACTTGTTATTAGTATTACTGATGAAGTCAAAAAACTTTCATCTGGTTATTGTGTCTTAGGAAACACTTAATTATTAAATTCCACACTAATAATTAGAAAACCCTATTATTTTATAATGGGTGAGGCAATACCATGCAGGTATCCCTCCATTACTGAAACAGAAGTCATCTTTAAGTGTGAGGAAGTGAAATCTCATACATCAAATGGTCTACTCACCAACTAAAGCTGTATTATTAGAGACAGACGGGTGTGAAGTATAAAGTCCTTCTATGGTCTGAAATGACAGTATTTTATGGGTTGAATGGCGTCTGTGGCTGACTGGTCCCTGCCCTTCCCAAAGCCTGGCCAAGTTCAAGGTGGACAGATTAAGCCAGAAATTTTGGAAGGTGTGTGTACATGTATGTTTTTGGGGGGAAAGAAGTGTCCTTTGGCTCTTGACAAGAAGGATTTTCTAGTAGAGCCACTCAAAGATGAAATAAATTGTCTTTGTAGGGATGGACAACAGAGGCTGGGCCAGGCCATGGGGGAAACTCAAATGAAAAATGGGAAAGTGTTCCTTCTCGTCGTAAGGTCCCCTTCCACTTGGGAGACTACCTCTCTCTAAGTAGGCTGTGTCCTCCTGCCGTCTGTCTGTGAATTCTTGCCAAAGCCCGGACCAAGAGCCTCGCTAGGCAGTTCACAAAAGCCTTTCAGAACCCTAAGGGCGCTTGGGCAGCATCGAGTCCTCCATGGGGACACGCTGGGTCTCAGAAAGGGAAGGGACCCACACAGTTCTCCCGATGCTTCCTGCACTCGGAGACCTGGGTTTTGCCTCCTTATGCTGCCAACCCACACACTCCCCAACCAGTGCAGCTACCGGCACATTGCTTGGCACAGTATAGGGATTTCATAAATGTTTCATGATGTTCTGGCTGATTGACTGGGAAAGGAAGCAGCCGAAGCCATCTGCAAGAGCCCTCCCTCCCCTCCACAGGAGCTCTGACTCACAACCTGTTTGGCACTGCTCAGTCTTCTCTGGTTTCCTGAATCTCCCTCTCTCTAATGCAAAAAGCCTCCATGGCAGATGTTTTAAAACAATGATCATGACAATGATGCTGTAATCCACTACTTTCTCCTGCATCACAGAATTTTTTAGAGTGTTTTTGCAGACTTTGCAGGGTAATTACATTTTTCGGACTAAGCCTTTGTGGTCCTGTCAGATAATTGCGGCCCCCAGGGCTGGGAATCTGTTAACAGGAGGGGCAGGAAGGGACTGGGAGTAAGGCTGGGTTCTGAACGCAGAGTAATTTGGGAGAAGGGCTAGGGCTTGGGATGGTCTGCCTGGGTGCATAGGCACTAATTTGAGGGTGCGTGTGTGTCTGCAGATTGCGGGGATTTTGTGCCTTTTTCTTGGAGGGGAACAGTGGGTATGGAGGAATTTGGTGTGTGGAAACAGCAAGGGCTGGCCCAGGCTTCCTCT